CGGGACCTGCAGGCGCCGGGACAGGCGAGGACGGGGCCCGCCAGTTACTCAGAGTTATAGTATTATATTTTAACAGTGCTAACTTGTCGAGTGATTCTTGCTCCCGTTTGTACGTGGTGTTATTGAAATGTATTGTTTGAGCTGAAAGCTGGTCGCTCTCCGGCCATGCTAATATATTTATTTGTAGGTATTTATATAATGAAATATAAAGCCTAGATTTATGGAGTCCCTAGATCACCTTATAAACTATATCAAACGAATATTTTCTGTTCTCCTTTTTAACCATTCAGCATTTGTTAGTCTTGGCCCCTTGCCCTCCTTACAACCCGCAGGACCATCCCCGGTATATATTTTTTGATACTGTACACATGTGGTGTTTCTATGTGCAAAAAAAAAAAAAAATCGTTATCTAAAGCTAAACAAGCTATTATAGAAATTGCTGCTATTAGAAATGTCTAAACTATAAGCTTCCAATTATTAATTGCTTGAATGTAAATATTAAATGGAGATGTTGAAAGTGCATTTGATGTTCTGCAGCTAGTGTAGATCGGATTGCAAAGCCCAGCTGCTGGGAGGTGGAGCGCGAGCTGCCAGCGGCGCTTCCTGGTCCGAGGGCTGTGTCACGGGGGAAGAAATGTATCATGCAATCATTGCAAAGGACTATAAACCTTTACAAAAACTACCAGGATTTGGAGTGCATTTGTTACTGCATACGGACGGCACGGAGGGCGTCCCTGTGCGGGCATGCTGTGGCGCCTCGGAGCAGGTGCTTGCAGGTTAAAATCGGCTCCGAGATGCAACGTATCGAGTATAGTTCTGGCTTTTCCCCAAAAGCACAGACAAGAGCGTGCTGCCCACAGTGTTTAAAGGCACCCCATTTTCTCCTGGTGCTGTCCAGGTGGGCAGCAAGGCCGTAGGAGCCGGTGGTTCAGTGTTTCCCTCTCCCCGCAGTGCCAAGGCAGGGCTGGGCTTCTCCAAAGCAAAACGGGCTGCGTTGAGGTCTACGATGGGAAACCTGGAAGGCTTCTGAGAACACAGGCTGGGAAGGTGGCTGCAATGTATGGGTGATAGCTAGTTCTCAGCCTGATGCTGCCACCCCAGCGGCGTTACCCCCAGCGTTGGGAAGGGTCACGATTAGACGAAGAGTTGAACTTCTGCAGAAAGGAAGATGGTCCAAATTCCACAAATAAGCCTGCAGACATCTCTGAACTAGATTAATAATTGCTGGAGTCCACTGAAAATACAGTGCAGTGCTAATTCTTTACAAAATGGCTCACGTGAAGGTGGCAACCTAGCAGTGTGCCCGTGGAGCCCGTCTGCACGTGGCTGAGACACAGCACTCGGTCCCCGCTCCCCCCGGGATTCCTTATAACGTTCCCAAGCAGAGTCGAGTGCTCATACAGTAACTGCCCTCTGAATCTTGTGCTTGCCAGACTGGCCCAGCTGCCAGCCTTTCTCGTCTTAGGCTTTTGCTTGAAGTTGATTTCTCTTTCAGAGATCTTAGTTGAAATATTGTCGTTGGTGGCACGTGAATGTGTATGGACAAGAGCCTCAAGCTTGTGAGAAGCAGAATTAATTGGTTTGGGTAAGGTGGACCCTGCGGTTACACTAGAACTACCTGGGTGAGTTGCCCCTGCTGTGTGTGAGAGCCCAAGGCATGGGTACCACCCTGTGGGCTCAGCCCCTGGGTCCTGCTGCGGCACGGTGTGTGTCTGTCCAGGCAGTGCTGTTCCCAAAGCAAAAATAAACCCCTCCGTCTTGTGCTGCCCACTTCTGGGCCACCTAGTCTTCCCAGGCTTCATTTTATTTAAATAAATTCAAAAGTCAGCTTGGCAACTGTTCCTTTTTAAATCCTGAGGATTATGTGGCATCCGCAGAAAGGTGGGGCAGCATCCAGCCAGGTGTCATCTGCTGGGGCTTGTTCACAGCGGGAACCACTGCATGAGCTGTGTCAGCTTAAACGTTGCCTACAGATGTTCTCATGCCAGAGCCAGAGTGCTTTTCCAAGGCAGGTTGGGTTAAATCAGAGGATTTCAGTGTGTGGATGCCATTTTCTCAGGTGGGACAGCCATGGAGGCTTGTATCCAAGTGGAACAATCTCGGCTGTGGACACTTGTCGCAGGCGTTGGTTTTGCCATGGAGGCTTGTATCCAAGTGGAACAATCTCAGCTGTGGACACTGTTGTCGCAGGCATTGGTTTTGGTCTGGTGGAGCTCAGGTCTGCTACTCAGCGTGCTCGTGCGGCAGTGGGAATGGCTTCTGGGAGCTTACACCAGAAAGATGGCTCTATCCCAGCTACTTGGTTAAACTTCTTGATGTGGACAACGTCAGTACTGACAGCTTGGTTCATCTCTTGTTTCAGTTGATGCTCCAAAGTCAATGGAAACTCGTGCAATATGTTTAGTGCCTGTGGTTCTCACCTGCCTGCGTGGAGACCCCAAAATCTGATTGTATGTGCACAGAGAGCTAGTGGAAATAGGTGAGCTGTGATTAAAATCAACATTTTGCCTGTTAGCTGTGCTGAATCTTAAGAGGGTTTTAATCAACCCTACGTGTCACCAGGGCTGCGCAAGTGACAGGCAGAGGCAGCAGCGGCCGAGGGTGCTGGAGAGCAGGTGTCGGGGGCAGGTGAACCCCAACCCGTGCCGGGGGGATGCCCAGGGATGGTTTGGTGGGAAGCGTTTCCCTGCCGTCCCAGCCTTAGCTGGCAGAGCAGACAATCAGAAATGATGCATTTCCCTTGATTAATTAAGCTAATGGTTATCTGAAAACAAAAATGGCTTGGAAGAGGAGACGCATGCTCAGAATGCAAAATGTGATTTATGAAAGGGGAAGTGCTGCTCGACAGACAGCGGCAGGAGCCAGTCCAGGAGCGGGGCTGGGCAGGCAGGCTTACTCCGGGGCAGAGTGTCTGCAAAAGGAGAACTTTTTCTTTAGCCAGACAAAGGTAGATTAAACCAACGGGGTTTCTCACAAATAGTAGGATGTGTCTTTTAAATGTGGGCTTGCAGGCTCCTGGACAAAGCCTGAGCATCACTGCTGCTGTTGTGAGCCGGGTCAGCAGCTTCCTTCTCTAGTCTGTAGGTGTGTGAGACTCTTGGCGATTAATAACTTTGCAGGTTTGCAGTTAGCTCATTAACATTTTTGAAAATGGATTGTACTGTGTTGCCCGTTTTTGTTCCTCTAAGTGTGTGCTTTCTGAGCTTCTTTCCCTACTTTTTCTTCCTTTCTTCCCTCCCCCCCCCCCCCCCGCCGCTCCACGAGCCGTAGAAGCACCTAAAATATTGTCTCTGCTGGCAATAGCTGTGGTTTGTTTGAGGCACCATTTCCTGGAAACCACATAGCCAGATATTTCTTAGTTTAATAGTTTGATCATGTTTATCACAACTCCAGCAGCATCCTGTGCAGTAAAAGGTGTGATAAGTAGTTACTGGTTTAAAAGATACACCCTCCCCTTGCTTTGTGCCAATTGGCTGGGAAAGATTAAGTGTTTAGGACATTAATTACTTATTCATACCACTCTCTTTCTATATTAAGTGCATCAAACCTAAATGCCTGTTACTGAGCAAATTACTGTGAAGTCCACTATGACTTCCAATGGTTATCAAAGTGATCCAGGATGAGATGGAGCGCCACCACGCTCCATTAGGAAGACTGGTGTGTGCTACATTTAATGTATTTCCCAGGAATGCGTTAACCTCTGCTTGGTTTGGATTTATTCCAGACAAACATTTGCTGATTTCAAAGGAGAATTTGTGTTCGTATTTTAGCTCTTCTGAAAGGGTCTGATGCATCCATCTATGCACAGCCATACTGAGAGGACTGTGCTGTAAAGCTGCTTTCAGGTTCTCCCCTCCGAGCTGTGGTGGTACCAGTGTCTGTACCAGCACCGGGGTTTGAATCCAGCCGCCGGCCCTCCCTCGCTGAGCTGCATCGCCAGCGACTGCCATGGCCCTGTGCGGTTTCAGCAGGCATTGGTGCGGTCCCCGCTTCACGGGAGGTGATGGAAACACCGTCCCCAGATGATGGCCATGGGGCAGCCGGCAGGGTGGGCCCTGGGGCTTGGTAGAAGAGGTTGCATCTCTGGGGTGAGGATGCTGTTAAGGAGAAGGATGTTAAATAAACACACGACATGGAGCTGATGTCTTTTAATCAGAATAAGAAACAGCCTCGCAGGGACTCCTGCTCCTCCCTGGAGAAGGGCAGAAGGTGTAAGTGGCCATATGTGGTGGGAAATGGAAGATTTCCCAGGTATTCAGGGCACTCGTTGCTTTTGCTCATATGTGGGTGGGGGCAGCTCCTCCAGGCAGTCACTGCATGCATTTTGTGGGGTTTTTTCTTTATTTTTCCCGTTCTTTTCTCATTTCGCTATGCGATGTCAGGAACCTGACTATGTGACTGTGCTGACTATGGTGGCCTCAGCACCTCTCCCCCGTTGGAGAAGCCAGCAACGAAGTAAAGCATTCATGGTCACGTTGCAGGGGGGGAAAAGCCCACTGTTCAGGCTGCGTTTTTCCAGGCTCATCCCCTTGAGCATGGCGGGGACTGTATAGCTTGTCCGTGCATGTGTTGGCTGCTATAAACCATTTTAACTAAACCTGTATCCAATGGGACTGGTCCAGCAGCAGAGGCCGGCTACCGAGGTTTTTTGCTGGATTTTCCATGGGGCTGGTGTCCTTCTGTCTGGGAGAGCGGCTGTGGGAGGGCGAGGCCAGGGTGCAGCACCCCGGCCCTGCCGAACCGGGGCAGCTAGGCGAGGGGGACGGCGAGGGGGCTTCCCTCAGTTCTGCCCCGTCCCTGAGCCCCCCTCGCCTCCCCCATCCTGTGGGGCTGCCTCTGGTTTGAACAGTCAAAAATGCCTGGCGGTAGGAAATCCTCAGTCTCCTGCACAGATAAGATCATTTGGATTCAGCCCAGATTCATGCAAGATCTGTGTCGGGAGGAGACGACCGCAAGGACACTGCTCTGTTTACATTTGCACCAGAGGAGGAAAAAGGCTGCACAGTGCTGGGCACAGCCTGGACCACCTCCAGGCGCGCCCAGAGCCTCGGCGAGTGGCTCCGGAGGGTTCCCTTCACATGGGAAAACTCCTGCCTGCACCCTGAGCTGGGGACAATCCCGTTAAAGGCAAAACGAAGCAGCTCACGCATTCAACAAGACAGCTGCCACCAGTGACACCTGACCTAAACACAGCTCTGCGGCGTAGCCCAGCCTTGGGCAGCATCAGTGCGGCGAGGAAGAACGGTCGTGTGAGCAAGATGTTGGATGGAGGAGATGGGGGCTCAGCTCCTGGGCCCCCCTCACTGCGCTCCCGGGGAGGGACCCCCCGGTTGCTGCAGGGACTGACAGGAGAGGGGGATGGGGTTGGATGATGTGGGAGAGGGGCCGTGGTGGCTGTGGCCGGGCGGTGTGCAGCCTGCTGGGGGGGGAACGGTAAGGAGAGAGGGTCCTGGTGGTGTAGCTGCTCATAGGAGCTGTCCCTGGGTCTGTGCCGGCACGTGAGGTCTCATGGGCATTGAAGGGGTGTTATTGCATGACGGACCTTTGGGTGCAAACAGGAGAGAAATGAGTGTCTCTGTAATGATGAAAGTTTGGGGTGGGGGCTGAAGGCAGCTGGGGTCTCCTCTCCCCGGGCTGGGACCTGCCAGTATCTCCCATCGCAGGGCTGATCCCAGGCTCACCCGGGAGCAATTTGCCGGCACCTACTGAAGTCGTTTCTCAGAGGGAGCCATCAGTTCAGCTGACACCTTGATGTAGTTTAAAGCAAACTGCAAACATGAAGATTTATTTTTATCGAACGAGCAAGCATATAAAACACGCTGTGCAATGCAGCGCAGCCTGGCAGGAAGCACCCTGAATCCCAGGAGTCATGACTTCGGCACGTCAGGCCGTGTGCCGCCCCTGGCCGACCCGGCTGATAGCAGGCCCGTGGGGTTTAAGGGTGGGGAGAGAAGGAAACTTAATCACCAACTGCCAAACCCTCCAGGATCTCTGTAAAACACCAGGACCCTTTTGCAAGAGATGGCACTGGCACCGGTTGGGACAACAGATCCTGACCCAGCCAAGTTGCTGAGGTAGAGCTCAGCCGGCTCTCTATCCCAGGGAGGTACTGGGAAGGGGGGTATGGCCACACTCCCATTTTCCAGGGGGTTTATACATTGCCACGGCCCGAGTGTGGATGCAGCCTCTGTGGTATAGGCATGCTTCAGTCAGAAGTGCTTAGTTGGAGGTGAGAAAGGGAATAACCTAAACCTCTAGGAGATATTGCTATTGTGTTGTAGCAGCCAGGGCAAAAAAGTGCTACAGATACAGAAAATAAATTAAACAGACTTAGATACTATTACAAAATGCATTAACAGGCAGCCTGAATGGACAGTCTGAGCTGATGGAAGCTTTAACAAACATGTATTTAATGTTGGATATAAAGACTGTGCTGAGCAGAAATTCTTGTTGTGCCAATGTAAAGCCACATCTCCC